AACCATCCATATATGAATTACAGGAGTAAATATCTCTCTTCCTCTCCAGCTATGAAATCCTGGAGGGTTGGAGCCCAGTAAATAACTGATAGTGAATAAGACATAACTTATGGGGGCCAAGGAAGGCTCCTGAATGGTCAAGCCTGAGTTGCAGCCTGATGGAAACAGGTCAGAACCCAGAAGCATCTCCTGAGGTCAGAATCTGGGCTATGTTTGCAAGAATGCTGTACGGTTTTGCCTCCAGGGATTTGGAAAGCTGAAGGCCCTTTTGTGAGGGCTCCTTGAGGCTACTCTCTCCACTGGGATTGGGACTCTCAGTGCTGAAAGAGGGCTGGGGCTGGGCCCTTGTCAAAGGAGAAGTGACATCCCTGCTGAGGCCTCAGAAGTGCCACTCTGCCTGCCTTCACCAGGGATGGGCCCAATGGAGGCTGACGCCACCCAGAGCATGGGGAGTGAGGCTCTGGCACTCACCTTGCCGCCCTGCCCTGCAGCTGCAAGCCCTCCAGTCTTTGAAGTCCTGTTTCCCTCATCTTTTCCAGATTCCTTTTCAAAAACTCACGGAACTAGAACTTGCAAACAGTCATTCGTAGTCCAAAGTGCCCGAAGAACATTTTTAATGAGATTTTTTAAGACTTTTCATCTTTTTTTTTCCCCTACTGCCTGCCTTTCCAGACAGGAAACTATTAGAGTGTGATGTTTCCATGCCAACTTCTAAAGGCTCAACTCTTTGCTTCCCCAAGGCTGGAGTGAATGGACCCAGGGTCAGTGGTTGGTTCCAGGGCCAGTGTGTCTGCTGGCAGCCAAGAGGGGGCCTAAGGGCCTGCCGCCCTGTCAGGTCAGGCTGCAGATGGGGAAGAGGGAGAGTTCTGCGAGGAGGAGGGGACAAAGGCAGACTTCAAAAGCAATTCGGCAGGATCTTGGTAGGACTGCTTCACAGGTGGGGATGTCCACCTCGGAGACGACTCTGAGAGGCAATGGGGTGGAGCATGGGTATAGTGACCTTTGGTGGAGGAGGGACACATGGGGGGCACCTTGGGCTGGTGCAGAGAGATCTGTCTGGTCCCCACAGTGGGAAGTCATCACCATCTCTATTGTCAGTGTGGTCAACTGTCAGCTGGGGACGAAGCAATTCGGCAGGATCTTGGTAGGACTGCTTCACAGGTGGGGATGTCCACCTCGGAGACGACTCTGAGAGGCAATGGGGTGGAGCATGGGTATAGTGACTTTTGGTGGAGGGACACATGGGGGGCACCTTAGGCTGGTGCAGGGAGATCTGTCTGGTCCCCACAGTAGGAAGTCGTCACCATCTCTATTGTCGGTGTGGTCAACTGTCAGCTGGGGACCCTTAAGTCACTCCCACTGGGAATTCTCATTGGGTCTGTCTTTCACACCCATGAAGCAAAGGCACTGGACCTGCCAGGCTGCTTCCAGGTTTGAAGGACATCTGAGGACAGACTCAGTGTTTGGGACAGGGTGGGGAGACACTGAGAGTCTGCTGCCTCTACCCTATGAGGAGGAGGAGGATGTGATCCCTGCTTTCTAAAAGGACATGCCGGGAGGCGTGGGGCAGGTAGAAGTGGGGTTTAAGCATAGTACCTGAGCGCAGACCCTGCACCTCAGTATCCCCATCACTAAGAACTGAGTCTCCATTCCTCTGTGGGGTACAAGCCCGTCCAAGGCTCTTCTGCACCTCCAGAGTTTTGCCTGGGCTGCCTCCTCCACCTGGGATCCCACCAGCCGTCCATGCCTGGGGAACACCTACCCTCTCTTCAAGGCTCAAGTACACCTCCTCCCTGTAGCTTCTACAGACCCTCCGTGGCAGGGACTGCCCACCGCCCCATGTGAGGCTCTCAGTGCAGACCTATGTGCAAAGAGGCCTGGGCTGAATGTGCCAGACCGTGAGCGCCACAGTCTGGGTTGGGCTGTTCTCACCTCGGCTCTTTCTGCTGCCCTGCCTGGTGCCTGGTACGGAGGGCTCTCACAACTGTCTGCCGAGAGAAGGATAGGAAGGGTGGAGGGCCCTGTTCTCTGAGGCCAGACTCCCCCAAGTCCTTTCTCCACTCTAGAGTACTCTCAACAGCAGGACCCAGAGTTTACAAGAAAACATAGCTGGAATTCCAGTGTCAATCTGCACCATGCTTCTGACAACGCCTTGCATGGGGAATGCCACTCCCCATCCTGCCCCCACCAGGCGGGCCTCAGGAATCTGAGATCTCACCATTCACATGGTGGATGGCAATGCTGGCATTTGCCCCAAGCAGCTGGGACGTTCAGTCCCAGTTCCATTGGTGGTCAAGGTGATTAATGCCAGGTGTCACTCCCTGGCTAGAAGCCAGACTGGTCATCGGGAATTGGGGCTGCTTTGGGAAGCAAGCTCACCTCCCCATAGTTGGCTGCCCTGCCTAGCCACAGGATAGCCTAGCCCACATCTCCCTGATTTTGGGCTTCTGCAAGGGAAAGATGACCAGGTAAGAACACTCCTCTGGCCTTTGAGATCTAATGGCTCTAGACAAGCATGCAAAACTAAACCCTCCTCCCTCCAGTATCTGTGGGCAGAGACCAGTCATCCAAACTATGCTAAACAGCGGATTTTCTTATCCCAGGTCTTGGCACAGGCTACTGGGCCATACCATCAGTCTCCTCCACCTCCTCCCTGAACACCATGGATGAAAAAGGAATTATGCTCTTGGGACTGATGGAAACATTCTTCTGGAGATCCATCTGTGAGGTGCCATTGGGCCTGTTTGAATAACAGCAGGCACGCTGCACAGGGGTATTATTGGTAGGACTCCTGCTCTGAGACTGGCTCAAGATTCCTCATGTGCTCCCATGTTGGTACCTCTGCCCTGACATGTCCTGGGTACTCAGGAGGCTGCTGTTCCCTAGCAGGCAGGGCTGTGTTGGGGTCACCATGGGGCTCCAGTGTTCAGGGCCTCGGCACTTCCTCAGTTAATAAACAGGAAGCTCAGAGGGGAATAGCCAGGCCTGGCATGGAGCACACGACCCACCCTCCTTGGTGCATTCAATCAGTCCTTTTGGGAAGACCCCTCTGGCCAGGCCCCAGACGACAGGATTCCTGGAGGAATGAGATTCCCTGAAGAACTCAGAGGCTGCCAGTGTGATGATTGCTGTACCAAGGAAGCCCAGGGGTGGGCAGGCTGCTTGGGTCAGTAGGGAAGGCTGGGGACAAGGGAGTCCCCACTCTGATGTCACTGGCTTCCTTTACCTCTCCGATCCCAGAAGAGAGTGAATCACCTTGCAATGCACCTTGAGGTGGGAAGGTGGAGATCTAGAAGCATCACTCATGGGCATCTGGGTTGCTAGGTTACCACAACAGCGAGGGAGGGCGAGAGGCTGCACGGAGCAGAGGAAAGTTGAGGAACTCCGGCTCCTATTAGCAGGGCCAGCAGTGTACACCTGTTCCCCACCACGGCCCTCTCCTCAATCCAATGAGAGCCCTTTCTCTGGCTTTGGCCACCTCCCAGCTCAGTAGTGGTTTAGCATATTGAATTTTCCTCGGCTGCAATCACTAAACTGATTCTTTAAGCCGTAGGGTCTGATGGCAGACAATAAAGTATATTGGTGCTGGTTGTTCCGAGTGCCCTCTCGGCAGGTTAGAAATTCCCTCCATGTCCTCCTGGGAAGTGATCGTCCAGTCCCTGGTTGCACACCCTCAGTGATGAGATTCTCACTACCTCCTGAGGCAGCTTTAGATCACTCTAATTCTTCTCAGCTCTGACTGATAGAAATCTCACTGAGCTAGGACCTTCTGCCTACAAACCCCCACCTGGGAGTCTCCAACCATACCTGTGCCTCCTGCCCAGCTAGTCCTTGAAAGATTGGTGGTTCCCACCATGTCAGTACACATCTCCCTTCACCAGGTGGACTTCCAGGGCCTCTTGTTTCCTGCCCAAACTGCTCTGCAGTTTGTCATTGTCCTTCTCAGGGCAGAGCCCAGCAGATCGGGTGGGGTCGGTACCGAACAGAGAACGCAGGCCAATCTCTGTCCTTGGCTGCGCTGATCCCACCGTCTACGTGTCCAGCCCACACAGGGAGCTCCTGACATCAGCATCCCAGCAGGCCCTCTCTCCATCACATGGCCTCCGATAACAGTGAATGGAGTGGAGAGGAAGCAGAGAAGGCGTCACTGTTCCTGGTGGTGGTCTGTGCTGGCCGAAGGGCCTGGGTCTTTATACCTCAGCTCTGTCACTAACTCTCTGTCTGTCCTTGGGAAGTCCCTCCTCTATCTGGGCCTCAGTTTTTCTATCTGTAAAAAAGGTTTTAAACAACATGTTGGGGCCCATCAAGTAGACAGCACTGACTAAATCAAAAAGCTCGCTTCTTATTTCAGGGCTGCCTATCCCATCAGCAATGCCTCCTGTGTCAGAAAGATCTGACAGGTTCCACAGCAGCCACAGGTGCTACCCCCAGCAGGGTTCTTCCTGGCTCTTCCCAGTGTTCCTCACAACCTCTGTGAGACCCTTAAAAATCAGACCTGCCCGAACAGCAACCTAGAACACAGGAAAGGTCATTTGTCATAGTGGTAGCGGGGCAAACTGGCCAGTCAAACAGTTGGTCTTGAGTCCTGGCCCTACCCCTTGGGCCAGCCATATCCCCTCTCTGTGCCTCTGTTTCCTCATCCGCAAATTGGGGACACTATGTTTCTTATCAAAGGACTGTTGTGAGGTTTGAGAGAGGGAGGAGGTATGCTAAGAGCTTCCTATAGGCCCTGGCTCACGGCAGATGTGAAAGCTATTCTTGGTTATTTAATATAAATCCTAGGAGGAGGCCCCTCCTTTTCTGGGGAGGCAGAATAGAACATAAAGACTGCTCTGTATCCCAGGAGAGTGAGATCAAATTGAAAAACCAAGGCTTGAAATAACTTGAGCTGGCAAGTTTCCCGGGGGGACACCGGAGGGTCTTTCGCTGCAGAGGAGAGAGCCGGCCACGCTCCCCTCGAGGCTGCGAGGAGGCCGTCGGGGTGACGAGGCTGTACTCACTTCAGGGACAGGGAGTAGTCGTGCTTGCTGGTCTGGCTATTCCGGACAAGGTAACTACACTCCTTGCAGAGTCGTAGCAGGTTCTCGGCGTCTCCTCTGCTGATGGCTCCGTGATACCATCTGGGGAGAAGAGACAGGGTCAAAACCCCAGAACAGGACTCCCACAAGCTGACACCCTGAAATCTGCTCCTCAAAGGGCAGCTGTCACATCCCAGGTCTCCTCATTACAAAGCAGGCGCGTGTGTGCGCGTTCAGTAATTCTATAGGTACCAAGTGCCTGCCAGATCCTCGGGATCCTGGGGAGAGGACAGTGAACAGACCCGCAGTCTCCTCCCTCCCAGGGCTGACATTCTAGTGGAGGTGATATGGAGGAACACAGCAGCGCTGAGTGGTTTGGAGTTCGCGATAGGGACTGCCATTTTAAGCAGTGGCCAGGGAAGCCTTCCAGAAAGTGACATTTCAGCATGAGCGTGAAGGAAGTGAGAGAGAAAGCCACAAAGGACAGAGGCTGGAGAAGAGCATTCTGGCAGAGGGAAGGGCAGCAAAGGCAGAGGCCCGAGACAGGAGTGCCTGCTGTGTTTTAGAAAGAACAAAAATGCCAGCGTGGCTGGAGTGTGGCAAAGGGGAGGGGTTGGCAGTGAGGCCCAAAGCAGGGCCTTATGTACAATTTGAGGACTCTTGTTTTCTCCATCTGAGTGACTCTAAAGCCATCAGTGGGTGCTGACAGGAGGGATATGTGCTGATACTCTGACATCTGCAGGACAAATGGGTGGTGCTCATCACTCAGGAGGGTGGCCACCCCAATGTTCCTGCTGAGTGAATCTGGCACTGACTAGGCACGTCAGAATCCCGGCATCACTGGTTTGGGACACTACACGGTGAGCAGCAGAATCAGAAGTGAGGGGTGCAGTGGCAGATAGCCTGACTAAGGCCCTTGATTGCAGGACAAAAGGGGACTAGTGACTGGAAAAGTTGAAGGTAAAAATTAAGTAGAAGAGGGAAGATCATAAGACAGCAGCCAGTGGTTATACTCAGAACACATTTCTATTTACATTACGGTCTCTGAGGGATGAGGTCAGTGGGAAGGTGGTGAGAGATGGGGCCAGAAAAAGAACTAGAGGTGCCAGATGGTGAGGCTAGATCACACTTTGGCCACAGAGGCACTTATGGCTCTGCCGCTGTCCAGCCAGGTGATCTGACGCAAGAGGCTTAATCCAGCTGTGCCTATGAAGTTAGGAATATTCCACCCGTTTTAGGGTTAACGACTAAATGGGATAATGCATAAAAGGGCTTATATAGAGCCTGGGGTGGGGTAAGTTTCAATGATTGGCAGCTATGATCATCAGCAGAAAGAGGCTGAACTTGCAGACAGCCACGGGTAAGTTCTCCAACTATCATTATTTCAGGCTGCATTTTAAATTACCAGGTTTTAGTGGGATGCCACCTCCTGGTCCCAGCCCTACAAACAGCACCTCTGAGCGTTCGGTTACAGATATTCTGCTTAGAGAAACACGTCACACTGCTTTTCACTGTGTACTTTCTGCCATTCACAAGGCAGCATTCTGAACAGTTAGCAGCAGTGGTGACGATGTAATTATAATCTAAAAAGTATCGCCGTCCAATGGGCATGTGACCGAGTCACTGACCGCCCAGGAGTTGACCATTCACGCACGGGTCAGCCTCGGGGCTGGACATCTGAAGGGCAGCCCAGAGAAAAGGTAGGGGAGTGTGTAGACCACAGACCCACCTTCCTTTTTACAAACTTACACAAAAATGGAGAGGAACATGAAGTTAGGGACTGCATGGACTGCCATAATTAAGACACTTTCAGAGGCGTGAAGGCTCAAGGTTTGCTTTAGAAAGGATACATGACTGTCATTGGGAGAAATAGTTAGATAAGGATGAAGCTGATTTTAGAAACAAGAGTTAACAGATTTGGCAAGGTTGTTTTCTGGGAAATTTCACCTGTGTAACACAGCCCCAGTGAGCTGATAAAAAAACATTGTTTTATTAGGAAAACAAGTTCCAGCCATTTGAAGCAGAGCTGTCCTCAGGGAAAGGCCTGGAAGGGGTCTCTGGGGACGTGCTGCCTGCCATCTGCCCCTCCCTGAGCACAGGAGCAAACAGGCTCTAAGAGGTGGTGGCGGTCAGGCCTCCCAGGGGGCTTTCCTTGGTGGGTAAACAGGAAAAGCTGCTGGTTCCTTCCCCGGCTGCTCCAGCTGCTCCACACGGAGAAAAAGGCAGGGAACTGGGAGGGGGACAGCCACTGGTCGGCCTGTCAGCAGGAGGCTGGCCACCAGCAAGCTCTTCCTGGACTGAAGAGAGAATCCAGACAGGAGGCCATCTAGGGGATGTGCTGGACTTTGTGGAGCTGGCCCATCAGGCCAGAACCATGAAGATTAAGACTCAACCATCACCATCCGGCCCATCCAATATCCATTAGCTCATCCAATGTTTGCTCACCACTTAGTCCATCCTTGATCTCATGGGGCTCATGCAGGGAGATGGAGAGTCAATAGATAGATTCAGGAAACGATTTCAGATAGTGATGAGTGCTATGTAGGAATACTGCGTTTCCGATAAGGCAGTGATGGGGGTGGGGAGGTGCCTACTTTAGGAATGGAGGCCCTAGAGAAGATGACATCTGACCCGAGACGCTACGTCGTGAGAAGAAGCCAGTCTTGTAAAGAGGAACAGCAAGTGCAAAGGTCCTGAAGTAGGAATGAGCTCAGGGTGTTCGCAGAGCAGAAAGGCGGCAAGGATGGTCTGGGAATGTGACCCTGGGGAGTGGTATCGGTTGAGGGTGGAACGGGAGATGGGGCCCAGTTCTCTGAGGCCTTGTGGGCCAAGGGAAGTCTGATTACATTCTAAGTATAGTGGAGGGCAATGAGAGTTCTAAACAGAGATATGACTTGCTCTGGATGATCTTACAAAAGGTCATCCAGGCTGCCCTGAAGAAGGCCCAGAGGGGAAGTAAAGCTGGATACAAGTTAGTAGCCTTCTGCAGTGGTCCCGATGGGAGGTGGCCGTGGAAATGAGAGGAACAGATGGATATGGGCTGTATTTTGGATGGAGAACTGGCAGAACTTAGTGATGCGTTAGATGCTGGTATAAGGCAAAAGAAAAGACTCATGAGGACTCCAGGTTTGTGGCTTGAGTAACGAGGTGGATGTGGTACCATCTATGGAGGTGGGGAAGCTAGCGGAAGAGCAAGCGTCTAGAAGCTTAGGAGCCCAGTTCTGAACATGTTAAATTTGAGATGCCCATTCGTCAGCCAAGTGGAGATGTGAAGAAAGCAGCGAGGTGTCAGGAGTTCTGAGAGAAGTGTGGGCTGAGGATGCACACTGGCGAATCACCACCAAGATCCTGAGGAGACTGCCCAGGGAGAGCACGTGGTTAGAAACTGAGCACTGGAGAGTCCAACCTTTAGGTCAAACTGAGGGGAGGAGCCAGCAGCAGGGAGGCAGGAGAAAAATCCAGAGCACAGGTCTGCGAAGGAGGGAGCTATCTACTGTGCTGACTGCCATGGAGGACAGAGGAAGTCACCTGGTGACTCAGGCAGAGAAGAGAAGCAGACTGTGGTAGGTGAGAGAGAATGGGAAGTGATGGAAGGGAGAGAAAGTGCTGACCGTTCTGTGGGGACTGTCCATTCATCGAACAGCTATTGACTGAGCACCGATTAGGTATGTGCCAGGTACTATTCTAGGCACTGAGGACACAGAGGTGACACAGACAAGTTCCCATCCTCAAAGAGCTTATGTACCCAACAGAGGCTAGAAGGGTAGGTTGGTCAAGATTATTTACCTATTTACTTTTAAGAAGTTTGTGAGACTACGACATGTTTGTATGCTGATGACAATCATGACGCAGGACTGAGCGGGCTGTGGGCTGCCTCCAAGAGGTTTTGGGGGGACTCCCCTGAATACCTGAGCAGCATTTCCACAGTCCCTGGAGGAAAAGCAGGTGGCATGGGGGCCCAGACAGATGTGTGACCGCCTATGCTCAACATCCCGTAAGACACAGTCCTCAACATGTCAGCGCCCAGCTCCCCTCTCCCCCAGGCTGGAGGAGAGGTTGGGACTTGGAGGTGCGTTTAAACTCTGAGGCATCATCAGCCAGGTGGGGGATTAGGCGATCCTCCCTGTCTGGGTCACCAGGCTCTGCTGGAAGTGGGATTTTACCCAAGTGCACCTCTTGGTGATGAGTCAAGGCTTCCGACAGGCCAGAATAATCCTGGGAAGACAAGACAATGGGAAGGGAAAGCCAGTCATGACTCTGGACTTGGCCGAGGGCCTTGTCGGGCGGGAACGGGAAAGGAGAGCGAGCAGGACTGCACACGAGAGGCCCCGGACTGATTGAAAGCTCTGCCAGGGGACGGGAAGAGGGTAGGCCGGGCCGCTGACCTGGGGCAGACCTAGGTCAGAATGCATGCTGAACAGCTCTGGCATCTCTGGATCACATTTTGTTTGTTGATTAAAAAGTGCACAGTTTGATCACCTAATTTACATGGCTGTGAAAAACGATGAACACAACCCCTACTGGGAGCTCTCCCCCCACCATGTGCTTAGTACAGAAGGCGCGGGGTGGGCACAGAGGAGGCTGCAGCCTCCTGAGATGATAGCACATGCTTAAAACGGGCGCATGAGCACATGACATCATCGGAAAACCCTGCATCCTGCTCACGGGGCGAGCATTTCCTGCGAGGGATGCACTGCCGGCTGTGCTGAGACCAGAATCCCCAGGGTGGAGACTGATATAGTATGTGATCCACACGAAACAGTCCCATGAGGAACCGGCTTGGTGTCAGCTAATCTCTTGGCCGACAGAGTACCTGGTCTGTGCCAGAGCGTGCTAACGGTGGGGGATGAGTGTGTATGAGGAGAGGGAAGTGAGGGGAGTCACAGGGCTGGAATTCAATTCCTACCTTTGCACTTGGAGCCTTGGGATCCTAGCCAAGGATCTGCATCTCTTGATGCCCTGATTTTCCCACTTGTGTCATGGGGTGACAACTCAATTTACTATACATTTGCTTAGTAAGAAAAAGATGATACACCTGAAGGTATCAGTACAGGATCCAGGACTTGCTCCTGGATCAAGCTCCTGGAGAAGGTCAATCTAGTCCAGTTGTGTACAATGGTGAGAAATTGAAAAAGCAGTCTGGGGACAATTCACAGAGCGAGTGGCAGGCTCGGGAGATGGGACTTTATCCAGGAGGTGATGGGAAGCCACTGAAAGCTGCGGAGCAGAGCAGGGACCTGCACGCATTGAGACCCTGGCAGAGAAAGGAGATGGTCATCTCCATCAAGGGGAGAGGCAGACACAGGCCTGACCAGCAGTGCTGGGAGGAGTAGGGACAGAAAGGGGCTGAGAAGTCCCAAATCAAGAGTGTCAAGGCCTTGCTCAACTAATACCAAGTGGATATGGGGCAAAAGCGTCACAAGCTATAAAGTGTTTCTAATTTACAGTTAGGAGACAGGATTCAGTATACTTTTAGCTATTCAAAAACTCATGTGCTGCATGATGAAACTAGAAATTGGGATGTGAGAGAGGTAAACTGTGTGGACGATTTTGCTCTCCCTCCCACTGGTCATCAAAGGGAGGCGATGCGGATGGACAGAGAAAGCACCGGCCTAGGAGTAAGGAGACGTGCGACCTGATCCTCTTCTGCCGTTGACCTGATGGTGGCCTTGACCTTCTCTGAGCCTCAACCTGTCCATCTGTACACAGGTGTGGGGCAGGGGTAGAGACTAAAAGATCCCTATAGCTCTAACATTCTCTCGGTTTGTGAATTTTTAAAACAAGATAAATA